GTGCTCCTCTTAGGGCAGTTGGGCTCTGCATTGCCCCCTGCTCAGAGCTGGAGCATTCATACCACAGTGTAGCCCTTTGAGAGGCACAGCATCAAATGCTTGACTAAAATCCAGATCTGATTTATCTACTGCTTTCTCTGCATCCACTATATTTATAATTTCATCATAAAAGCAATCAAGTTTGGCAAGATTTATTCTTTATAGACTCATAGACTGTAAGATCAGACAGGACCATCGTGATCATCTAGTCTGACCTTCTGTACATTGCAGGACACAGAACCTCACCCACCCACTCCTGAAATAGACCCCTAACCTCTAGCTGAGTTACTGAAGTCCTCAAATCATGGTTTAAAGACATCAAGTTACAGAGAAGTCACCATTTACTCTAGTTTAAACCTGCAAGTGACCCGTGCCCCATGCTGCAGAGAAAGGTGAATCCCCCCGCCCCAGGGTCTCTGCCAATCTGACCCAGGAGAAAATTCCTTCCCAACCCCAAATATGGAGATCAGTCAGACCCTGAGCATGTGGGCAAGACCCACCAGGCAAACACCTGGGAAAGAATTCTCTGTAGTAACTCAGAGCCCTCCCCATCTAGTGTCCCATCACCGGCTGTTGGAGATATTTGCTACTAGCAGTCACCCATGGGCCACACGCCATTGCATGCAGTCTCATCATACCATCTCCTCCATAAACTTATCAAGCTCAGTCTTGAAACCAATTGGTTTTTTTTGCCCCCACTGCTCCCCTTGGGAGGCTGCTCCAGAACTTCTAACCATCAAAGGAGTGAAACCTTCATCTAATTTCAAGCTTAAACTTGTTTATGGCCAGTTTATATCCATTTGTTCTGGGGTCCACATTGGTGCTTAACATAAATAATTCCTCTCCCTCCCTGGTATGTATCCCTCTGATGTATTTATAGAGAGTAATCATATCTCCTCTCAACCTACTTTTGGTTAGGCTAAACAATGCAAACTCTTTGAGTCTCCTTTCATAAGGTAGGTTTTCCATTCCTCGGATCATCCTAGTAGCCCTTCTCTGCACCTGTTCCAGTTTCAATTCATCTTTCTTAAACAAGGGAGACCAGAATTGTACACTGTATTCCAAATGAGGTCTCACCAGTGCCTTCTATAAAGGTACTAACACTTCCCTGTCTCTACTGGATATACCTCGCCTGATGCATCCTAGGACTGCATTAGCTTTTTTCACGGCTGCATCACATTGACAGCTCTTAGTCTCCTATGATCAACCAATACACCCACGTCTTTCTCCTCTCTCTGATGATAAGTCTCTATCTTATAGCAAAAATTCTTGTTAATCCCTAAATGCATGACCTTGCATTTTGCACTATTAAATTTCATCCCATTTCTTTTACTCCAGTTTACAAGGTCATCCAGATCTTCTTGTATGATATTCTGGTCCTCCTCCGTCTTGGCTATACGGCTATTTGTGTCATCCACAAATTTTATCATCACACACTCACTTTTTATGCCAAGATCAGTAATAAAAATGTTAAATAAGATTGGTCACAAGACCAATCCCTGAGGAACTCCACTAGTAACCTCCCTCCAGCCTGTACAATCTTTCCGTATGACCTATTGTAGTTACCCCTTTAACCAGTTCTTTGTCCACCTTTCAATTCTCATACTAATCCTCATCTTCTCCAATTTAAGTAATAATTTTCCATGTGGAACTGTATCGAATGCCATACTGAAATCCAGGTAGATTAGATCTTTGTCTAAAAATCAGTTACCTTCTCAAAGAAGAGATCAGGTTGGTCTGGCACAATCTATCTTTTGTAAAACCATGTTGTACTTTATCCCAGTTACCATTCACCTCTATGTCCTTAACTACTTTCTCTTTCAAAATTTGTTCCAAGACCTTGCATACAATTGAGGTCAAACTAACAGGCCTGTAGTTTCCTGGATCACTTTTTTCTCCTTTCTTAAAAATAGGAACTATATTAGCAATTCTCCAGTCATAGGGTATGACCCCCGAGTTTACAGATTCATTAAAAATCCTTTCTCTTGGACTTGCAATTTCTTGTGCCAGTTCATTTAATATTCTAGGATGGAGATTATCCGGGCCTGCCCAATTTAGTCCCATTAAACTGTTTGAGTTTGACTTTCACCTCAGCTGTGGTAATTTCTACCTCCATATTCTTGTTCCCATTAGCCACCCTGCCACTACCCCTACACTCTTCACTAGTGCCATTAAAAACTGAGGCAAACTATTTGTTTAGGTGTTGGGCCATGCCTAGATTATCTTTAATCTCCACCCCATCCTCAATGCTTAGCAGTGCCACTTCTTTCCTTGTTTTCTTCTTATTTATATGGCTATAGAACCTGTGACGTTGTGCAGTCTACATGGTTTTATAAAAATATAATAATAAG